GATGGCATTTGATTGTTGGGACTTTGGCCCGCTGTCACGACTAGTTAGAAACTTTGGAGTGGCGCGAAACCCACGCTTCGGGGGAGTCGAGGGGGAGATTTAGCAGAAATACGGCGGTTCCACTTTCGGTGTACATCCATCTGTCCCCCAGATCACGCTAATGGCGCCTTTATATCCAGTACGTGATCGCACATATACGTATACGCGACATGTGGAACATTCACATCGTTTCGCAATCAGAGCGCTTCGGGGCTAAATGAGCAACAATATCTTGTTACGTGGGGCCAGGAAGAAGAATGGAGTAGTTCAGATTCATCCTGACCGTAAACGAGGGAAAAAAACTACGATTCCTAGTTCAGATGCTCCATGGATGGTGATCTATGGATGCTCCATCAGCATTCTTTTAATAGTGATAATAACTTCTTTTTTTTGCAAAATTTTAAATTAATCTTGTGTAAAATTTATTGACGATATTCACATAAAAAAAATTATCTGATCCTGTATGCTTTAGGAACAAGATTATTTTGTTCTACGAAAATCAAGCAGAAGTTGAAATCTAGTCGCTAAGTATTCATACTCCTCCCTATCAAAAACCTTTACAATATATTCAACATTAACTCCATCAACTGCAAAACTGGTATATTTCACATTTTGTCAAGGGCGTCTTCATGGCTCCTATAATGACTGTTCCATATCTAAGAAGCCTATTCAAACAAGATTAGTATATACGCTTTTGTTATTATCAGTAACAAAATAATAACAATGGCTCTTAGAGTATAGACTCCTAACTAAGCAAGAAGTCAAAATCACTGAAAATCTTACCAATATGGGAAGGAAGTTTCGAATTTGCTCTCTCATGACAGGGAATCAGAAAAAAAGAGAAAGATACGACAGATTTTTAGATTCCCAATGAAATACCCAACTCTAACTTTTAAAATATCAATCAATATCTTTGCCAGATTTCTGAGTTTTATTTCCAATTAGCAAAAGTCGTGTCAACTTTTTGTTTACGTGACCATTCAATTCGATTAACCATACCGTGTTTACCCAAAGGGAAATCGCATTTAACAAAATTAACATATTGTATTTGAAAAAGATTAATTATCTATGTTGGTGAAACTTAATTAAATTATTTTGTTAAATATTTGAATTTAACTAAAACAATTCGCAATCCGCAGATAATTATGAATTAATTTCGTTGAACATTAACATCAGATATTAGATTTGGCCGAAAGTCAATAAGCGTATATATTGTTATAATGCATTCGTTTATGCAAAATTGTTTAATATTAAACGTTGGCGCGGAGTTATTTTGCCCCCCGGCCTATTGGAGAGGGGGGTGGCGGGTAGCGAGCAATTCCTAACCTAATTGTATGAAATTACCCGGCCGTGTTCTCTACGAAATTATTTCATAAAATCGCAGATACATAAAGTGAATCATTTCAATTGAAATCTGGGCAAATTCAATTAGCAGTTGGAGATGCGATCCCCCCGCCGGCAAATTATATTCCTGGCGACGCTTCTGCTGTTAGGGGTACACTGAAAATCTATCCTGCATTCTCAATCAGCGGCGCAGATTGCCAATTTCGATATGGTTTGTTAAACGTTAATTAAATTTGTTTCGCTAACGCATTCACAAACTCAAAAGGAATAGTTCACAAGACGGTTGTTTCAGGCGTTGGTGTTAACTTAGTATTTGCTTATTCCCGTGCTAGGCTAGGATACCTAGCTGCTAATATCTGACGATTTACAGTGACTCACAGCTTAAATGGCACAGTCGCTATAACAAAAACTAGCTGGTCTGATTGCCTCTTTATTTATTTGAAAAAAAAAACAACTTATTGAAATTAAGTTAGTAAGAGCCTTCTAAAAAAGTGTGAATTACTTTTTGTCTTAGTTAACAATAAAGAATTAATTAAATTATATACAATATTAACGTCACAGCTTAAATGATGCAAAAAAAACGAAATCAATAGAGAAAAACAACTGCATAATTTGAAATAGTCCTGCTAATATTTAGTCGGGCCTCTGTCATTATCGATAACGGCATGTAGTCTTCTGGGTATCGATTTAACTAAATTTCTAGTATACTAAAAAAATTGTGTTCCATACTTCAGTAATTTTTACTTTTAATTCATTCTTGTTAGATATTGGGGCACTATTTATTTTGTTTTTTAATATCAAGCACAAATTTTCAATTATATTAAACTCTTGCGTCTTAATAACATTTGGACAGTTATAAAGCAACCAACTGAACCGATAATTGTTACCCATATTTAATTTTTGAGCACCATCAACCAGATGCTGCCTTAATATAACCAAATACACATATTTGTTCACATTTCCTTCAATGAAATGCATATTACCTACTCCTGCAGATGACATACAGCACCATAACATCACTCCACCTCCACCGTTCTTTACCGTAGCTTTTAAATTTTTCAATATTAATTCTTCCTTAGACTTTTTCGATACTGATATTGTTCCATCGGATCCAAATAAGTTTATTTTGCTTTCATCGGCAAATATTGCTGAATTCCAGAAGTTCAAATCTTTATCGATATGCTCTCTATCGAATTCTAATCTCTCGCGTCTATTTCTTCGGCTAATGAAAAGCTGGCAGTTTGTGTAAATTATTTTTTCACAGGACTCGTCGAATTGTTTCTGGGTTACACCTTTTTCCAAACTGTCTTTCCACCCCGACACACATCTTTGGAGTACTTTTTTTTGGATAATTCGATACCTCTCTCTCACGTTCATTGAAGATCTTATTTGGAGCTAGCCTTGCCTTATTCTCGGCCCTCATTTCGTTACAGTAACGCTCAATGATATGCTGAACAGTTGACGAAAATTTCCAAAAATCCATTTCCGTGATGAATAATAATTACATTTCTCTCAGACATTTTAGTCCGACGACCCATTTTTTAACCAATTCGTTTTACCGAACGAAAACATGTTTTAAAATATCAAACTAAACAATAAACAATTGCAGTAATAAATAAAAGCGCGGTTATTATTTTTGAATCATTTAAGCTCTGTCGTTAATATTGCATGTAATTTAATTAATTCTTTGTTGTTAACAAAGTAAGACATATTTAAGACAAAAAGTAATTCACATTTTTTAGAAGGCTTTTTACTAACTCAATTTCAATAAGTTGCTTTTTGCCAAATAAATAGAGAGACATTCAGACCAGTTGGTTTTCGTTAAAGCGACTGTTGTTATAACCTGTGACTCACTGTATGTTCTTCAATATGAAAGAAAGACGGATTTACTGTGGTTTGCTGGTATTTTTTCATATCTATGAATTAGTTATTTATGAATTGCGCTTGCGTGTTGACTCTTTTTGTTTACTTCCACCCCAAGTTCCTCGAGCACTAACAACATTCCGAATGAAGACAATGGCGATTTATATGGATAACGCTTTTTGCAACGACATTGGTGTTTTAAATTTTTTTGCTAAGTGCGTATTAAAGTTTAAAAAGTACAGAAACACATTTTTGTGGTTAGGTATTTGCAATTTCATAGTTTGTGTTATATTATGCAACAGCTGTGACAAACGGCATATGAGTCACTAGTTTATTTGGCACGAGCGGAGCTAGTGTTTAATAAACGAGTGACTCAAAAAGCTTACCAAACGAGTTGTTACCAAACCTTTTCTTCTATCGTTAGTTTTTGGGTACATTTTTGCAAAATATCACGAATACATTCACTGACATGGCCGTCAGAATTGACAAATGTCAAAATTCAAGCTGTGCGGTAAAGTTCCCAAAAACATCCGATTGCTTACAAACCCGTGCGGTAATATCCCGGAAACGTCCGAAGGGGCTCGGATCCGTGGGACAAGAAACTCCCTCGGTAAAGTGACGCTTTCCGCACGGTAGATAGGTGTATCATTAGGTATTTTACAGAAGGGAATAGAAAAAATTAATTTCCTAAATACCGAATACTCCAAACTAAGTTTGTAAATTATATTTGGAGTAATATATTTCGCACGCACGATATCTAATTAACTAAACCAAGTAAATTTTTGACTGTCGCATAATATCAGCCCCTAGTATTGGCTGTTGACATTCCTCTGGTTTGTAAATTTTCCGGCAACTTCGGGTGATGACTAGGGTAACAGTTTTTCTTAAAACAGGTGTGCTTGCTATATTAGCAAAATAATTTTGTTGCTACCAAAATGCGTTGTAACCAAAAACATTTAACCAAACCCAACCCGATTTCATTATCCACCTCTGAATTATTATTTACTCTTTTAGATAAATTTTTCAATGCGTCCCTTTGAAAACTAACTTACAACTTAGTGTTGATTTTTAGAACTCCGAACTAATATATCCAGATGCAAACAATTCTTCCAACATTATTATCCGCTAACAGAATTCCAAACGTGAATAGTACGATGCAGGCAGGGAGATGAAGATGTGAAATTTGAAGTTCTCTAAGCAGTTAGCATTTAGCACCAACACGCGCCGATTAAAAGGGCTAGTCCATTCGAATAGAAGAGACGCACCACTAACACCTTGTTAGGCATAAGCAGGGCAATCCTGAAAACACTGGACACTGCAACCTTAAATACCAGATGCACAAAATCGACCTTTTGGGACGATGATGAATCCAGGATGTGCATGGAGGATAAGGTATCGATGCTCGGTGTTGGGAAGGATTAGATGCTCGAAACTAGGGGCTGACATACATACATATTTCACACTTTCCCACAAAATAACGGACTTTATACGAGAGCTGAACCTGATGGTCGTTGTTGTCTGGTCGGTTTGGTCGCTACAGAAGGCCTAGTCCAAACCTAAATATAGCGTTTAAAGAAAATTTCATTTCTTTTCTGGGGGTTATGGGTATAGTAAGCGTATCCAAAGAATACGCCGTACATTTGGAAACCACTTATTCTGTGGTTCCATTGCGACTGAATCAACGCTTTTGCCATGCGTCAACGATTTATAAACCGCTTAGTTATACGATGAGCAGTCATTTGTTCAAAGTTCCACAGATAGCGGAGGAAACTTTTTGCTTCGCTGCGTCCATGCACTGGTCGCCATACTACCGACCTTGCCGCATCGTCGACAACAGGTACGTGCCGCCGGCGTTGCCCTTAGCTTTTACTGCTAAATAAATTTGTCACGATTAACGCTACCACGCGAAACACGACTAGCGATTCCGGCACACAAAAGCAATAGAAATTAGTAGCGTTCCAGATAAATCATTTAACGGCGGTGGGGGATGTGCGGAGGTAATACAGAGGCAGTCAGAGAACCCGCAAAATCCAGTCGCGGATAATCAATTACCGAAATCCTGTCCCCTTACTTGTAAATTCCGCATTGTACACATGTATACCTCTCGGTTCTTGATAGATTGTGGCATGTTGCACGCAATTCGTAATCGCGGCGGTAGCTATTCCATCATCGACGTGCATGCAATAATTAGAATTATAACCAAAATGGCGGCCATTTATCAGTCCCATTTGTCACGAAGTAATTACCTGTTTACAGGTATTAAGCGCTACGTGTGCAACGGGGATCGGAGGGGTATTTACGAAAATTTGTCCCCAACGTTGTGGGACGAGCGGCGGATGAGTCACCGCTGCTATAGTAATATATTGAATGGGATAAGAGCAAACGATATGAGGTTGTTCTCGCAACTATCTCATTTCGTATCTTTATCCGAGTCAGAAAATGTAGATGTTTCAGATTCCTCAGACGCGACCATTCAATTTTATTTTCTTATTACTTGCTCTAATTTGAATTCTACTTCTTCATCACTTATTGCAACAAAAACTTATCAAATCTGCAGAAGGCAATCTAAAATCTTACTTTTTGCATTGAACAGTGAAACTCTCCTCTTTCTAGTAGATTCCGATGATTTCGATCTTAGTCTTAGTCTTAGTTTAAATGAAATCAGAAATCGCCAACAAAGGCAGTTTATCCTGTGAAGCATGACAGACCCATTGAAGCTAAATAATATCGCATCAGTTACAGAACAGTGTCGTATCAGAAAAAGCTGTCGTAAGTTGGTTTGCTACAGACGATTACATAATGAAATATACACTAGCTTGCCACGAGAATGTCCCAACACAAATGACTATGTTTCTGGCCGATGTAAATACCGCAGACCAACACTAAAAGAACTAAAAATTCCATGCAATGTAAAAATATTCTAATTTATATAGTGCAACATAAAAAATAATATTTAAATATGATTTTTCACATTCGTATACATACTTGTAAAAAAAATTCACTTTTAAACATTTGTACGATGTACAACCTTCGCGGTTCGTAACAGTAATGAACTGCATAGCAACCATACTTTGTGCAAATAAATAATTATTTACAAAATCCGCTCGCGCAGATTCAATTTTCCCAAACTCTCCACATAAAATTCCATTTAACTTAAATGCCCTGCGTGTCATAAACGAGGAAGTCTAGTTTATAAAAACATTTATCTCTATTTTCGAGCTTGGAATATACATGGTTAAAATATTGTCGTTTAATTTACGGCCACCCTGTAAGGTGTGCGAAGGATCATCTATTTCAAAGCGCCCCGTGTAAAACCGGCTTTATTTTTACGAGTCGTAGTAAACAATTTGCGGACCAAACAAAGTCCCAGAAAATACGATCGTAAGCCGAGGCAGCTGTTTTTCGTGTCGCCATATTTCTCAGCCCCAAATCCCGACTATGGGAGTTATTTGTAGAAACTATCTGAATTAAGACTATTACTTAGATTTACTAATTCGTTCAACATAAGTATCGTTATGCGGATTTCTTTGTTCTCGGGTTGGCGTTTGTCCAGCGTGTTTCCAGATTTCGTTTCGAATTTATTATCGTGTCCACCAATTCCTTGAGTAAGTTAAATATCGCTACATCATCGTTGGACCAAGTCAGTGTCCTCAGAAATCGCCTACTTGATTTCAATCGTGTGGGTGCTATATTAATATTGTTTATTTAAAAATTAGCATTGCTCGGTGACTCGTCATTTGTTTTGTTGATACGATTAAATTTCATAGATTTGGTTCTTTCACAAAAAATTTAAAAATTAGATCGATATTTATAGTCCTATTGACTTTAAAACTAAAATGAACACTAATTCCTCTAATTTAAGTTTCAGTTAGGTTTAAGTTTAGTCATTTTTTCAAGTGATTGAAATCGCTGAATAAATATGTGGCACTTAGTTGAAATTGTGACGCTGTGGTTTATTATAATCAACATGTTTGTATGGAAAGATTCTTTGAATTAATCAATCAATCGAATCAAATCAAAATTTCTTTATTCCTTTAACAACTACAAAATCGCTCTATAATGAATTTATTACAAAAAAAAATAAACAGGATAATTAAGAATATTGCAAACTATGCAATATAATTAACCAAAAAATACGACTACATTACACACTGTAGGTATCGGTCTGGAAATCAGTTACCCAAACAAGCACTATTCTTAATTTTATTCAAAATCCGATACAAATACAGGGTGGCAAATTTTATTTTTATTGGCTTTTTATTAATTACTCAAGACCTTTTAAGTGATTTTGTCGAAATTTGATACATTTGATATTTATATTTATATAGATATTTTAAAGATTTAATAATTCTTTTATATCAAAAGTGAAACATTTTGTTTGTTGCTTCTGTTTTTTGCATCTTCTTCGCCTTGCAAGATTTCTATCTTGAAGAATTAAAAATCGTTGGTCTGCATTTACCTCTATTAAAAGAAATAGTATTTTAATAAAACTTTGTATATTATTTTTGTTCTACCGTTTTTATTTGTTAGATTAATCTACGCAGTTTTTTCTGTAAATATTTGACACCCTTTATCTGGAAAACGAAACAAGTTAGGACACAAGATTATGTATGAATTATTTTTGGTTGATAAATATATCCTTAAAATCCTTATATTCTATTCTGAAACAACCTGTATATTTCCACTCCGGTGGTCTCAGTGCTTTTATTGCCTATTTGTAGCTTCTTTAGCATTATCCGGAAATAATTTTGATTCTTTGTCGGAATAGCATTTACCCTTATTTTTCTATACAGATTGTTGCTTTTAAAGATATGGAACCAGGAAATATATACTATATTATTATACTATATTTATTGCTCGAGTGTACTTAACACATAAAAACCGGTTTATACTTAATACACAACTGAGAATGCTATCCAGAGTGCTGAGATTTGAAAACCCGTGGATTGCTAAAATGGAAAATTCTCTATAGACGAATGTAAACTTTCTACTAAGCTTCTACTTTCAACTCTTTGAAAACGAACATTGACAGTTTTTCAGCTGTTCAGATATTGCTCTCCAGATTTCCTAGATTTATGTTAGATTTCCAATATCCTGTGCTCTGAGAAATAATAATAATAATGGCGTAGGTAGTGTATTATTTATTTACGTTTAATTTATGGAAAGCTGTAATAGCATTTCTCCCAAAATGTTCACAATTGTGGTTTTGTTTTTCGTAGAATTTCACTACGTATTATCGTGTTATATGTATTGTAACAATGTAGGAGTAACATAACAAAATTTTCACAAGCCTGCACTTATTTTCTGTTCAAACGTTTTGTATTTCACTCAATTAAGCGCAATTTTACGAATATGCATATGAGTTTACCTTGCTCGTCTGACGACGTAATGGAAGTTATTAAATATAAATGGGTACGAAGACACGGCTTTTGGATCTCTCTACTGCAGTTCCCCCATCGACTTGTAAAACATTTCTAATTTATCAAACTAAAACGGCCCGTATCGCACCGATCTCGGTGTCACAATACGTTCCGTTTCTTTTAACCCCCTCCTGACACCACCATAACCGTTTTTAGGGGACGTTGGCGCCACCGAACTTCTGGAAACAGTTAATAAGATTAGATTTTTATGGACAACACCGTCTGTTCGTTTCCTCTGCGGAATGTAAAGGGTAAACATGTTCGCGCTCAAACGGACAAATCTCTCGCGTCGCGTTTAGTTTTATTTCTTTGTTTTCCGAAACTACGGCGTAAGTTTTCCAAAGTAATTCCGTATGTTTTAGTGTCGACAGTTTATGGCTATTCTATCGAGTCCAGACAGACTTCCAGAAAACCAACTTGTATCGGACCATTTCCTACAAAGTTATGATTGTCCTTTCGTTTATTATAATCTGTCGTCGTGAACTTTAAGGTAATAAAACGCGGAATTAGCTCCGATACTGGTCAATTACGCATCATTAGGCGCAATTGTAATAAAATAAACTTATATGCTTAAAAATTATTTCAGTGTGGCCATTTCGGCGCTTACGCACACACAATGTATGTCGTTTATCTTTTTTTTGCAACAATTCTTACTTAACATAGTGTCTGTTTTTAATTGTGTACGTCAGACAGAGAGAGATGTATTATTGGATATGTTATATAATCGACGGAATAAGCACAATTTCAAAATGTTACATTGTTTATTTAAATTTTACAATTGATTATTAAGTAGTTTATTTAAAGAAAAAGACTGTAAATTTTTTAAGATAGTATAAGGAAGAAAAAGCAGGTCCTAACCAATTTTGTTTTGTTTGTACTCAGACATGGATATTTGAAAATGGTACAAATGGTCTTGACAAGATATTAATATAAAAACTACAAAAATCACTAAAGTTCAAGCTAATGGTATGTAAAATTTCTGTTTGAAACTTAAATTGTAAATGTCACTTTACTTACCGACTAGCCCTCTAGATTTTAATTGTAGCTTATAACACGTAGTATTTAAATTGTCTAATATATTGCATAATATTTTTCGGTGTATTAGTTTTTGGGATCATTTTTGCAAAACAACACGACTGACATGACCGTCAGAATTGTAAAATCTCGGAAAACTTCCGATTGCTCCCAAACCCGTGCGGTAAAATCCCGGAAATGTCCGAAGTGGTTCGGATCCGTTAGAAACGAAACTAAAGTGGTAAGGTGTCGCTTCCCACGCGCTAGATTGGTGTATAATTAGGTATTTTACAGACGGGAATTGAATAGATACATAAAATAACAGTTGGGTGAGTCTAGTTAAAGTTTAAATATACGTTTTGTACAAAATTTCGTTAAAATTTACAATTTTATTTATTTTAAAATTTTAAAAATGTGTATGCCGTAATTAGGTTCTCTACTCAACCACAGTACAAGAAAGAATGATATAACTCCTCAAATCGAAACGAAAATACGCCTGGAAAGTTGGCGGGTTAATCAACTGGGAGTCGAAATGCCCGTAAGCTTAAAATAAACATAAATCCTGCTAAAATAAAAAAGAAACCGGGCTCCAATTCCCGACACATACGGCTATAAATAAACGCGATCTGAAAAGAATTACAAAAACGAACAAGCGCGAAAGAGAGGCAGCTATTCTAAAAGGCCTGACAGAAAGATAAATACGCATTTAAAGGCGCTAAATATAAACCGCCGCCGTGGCACGAGCAGCTATATCACTTTAAAATTCGTTTGTCTTTTTCTACTTTGCTTCTAGAAGCGGAGATATAATAGGAGAAAAATTTTCCGCCGCGTTTGATATGCTACTTGAACCTGAATAGTAATTTATCATGCTATTCCAGATTTAAATCTTTTTATCATTATTTTGAGCAACTTTCTGAAAAGACAATTTCAGTCATGAGCTCCCATACATTACGATCTTTACCAGCCTAATTAAGGCAGTAAAGTGTTAAGGGGGGAATAGGGGGGTGAATTCAAGTGCAAATAATCGAACACCAGAGACAAGTTGGATCTTCCAACAGGGTTCTAGCACTTCCAAGTCATCTATTAAGAAATGGCATTCCTAAGAATAGCAGTCAGGTGGACAGGACGCGCACTAACGTAGATTGTAAACCCAAAAATGGTCGAAAGCAATGGTTTTCGACTAGACACTTTAATTCGCACAGTGCGTGCATATGTAAACTATTACTCCAAATAAAGAGTGATCCCATTTGAGGTTATTAAGTTGTTGGCAATGAAAATCAAAGAAATCAAACACCTGTCAATTTAGTCGACATCGGTAAGACGGAAATGTGAATTTGTAGGTCTTCGCAGTGTGGGATTTCACACAAGAACTACCTTACCTGTTATGATGAAGCCACCTAGCTGGGTCTGTTAATAAGCAAAATAGTTACACTTGGGTGCACGTTGTAATGTGAAGTCACTAATGGACCTTATTATTTAAAGACATCGGAAGGTAACAGTTGATGGTGAGCGATAAAGGTCCATGATTACTGGTTATTTCATGCACCAAATCGAACACGGCCGCAACTTGCTACACATTGACAGGATGACAGTTTTTGTGACTGTGTATATTTTATTTTTTATTTAAGTTCGGAAACTACACAATATTCCGAAATGACCGCAAAAATAAGGATCCTAAAAATAATTTGCATTTTTACGGTGCCGTGCAAGTTTTTACTATCAAAATATTCAGTTCACACCGTCAAAAAGTGCTCCTTAATGATAAAAGGTATATACAAAATTCTATAAAAATCTTTCGTCGTTTTTTCCTTAAAATTTTAACAGAATGTAGCTCAAAAATTAACAAGTATTACACCATATGTCGATATTAACTTTTCTTCTTAAAATCGCGTGGAATGGACAGAAACACGCCATCGATGGCAGAAATCTAGGTCCCGTACATCGTTACGCCTCGGATTTGCCATCGTAATGGTTTTTTCAGGAAGAGGGTCGAATCCATTTTCAATTTCCTCAACGATAGCAAAGGAGACGGTCGCAACGGACGGTCATTGTCGTTCCGGTTATCGACGTTATGCGAGCCCGCAGTCCGTTTAAGGAAACTGAGTTACATTAAAATACGTTCCTCGCTCGATTTACCGGCCAGGGCTAGTGTTTCAAATTGAGTTATAGGTTTTTTTTTTCGCCTGCTGGAGAAAGCTACACTCGCACGCCTGGAGTGTCTCCCGTTCATCACGGTCCTCGTTTTATAGCGGGATCCCGTACCATTTTAAAAGTAACTTTACGGCTGGTCCTAGAAACTTGCGATAGAATTTTACACTGTGGCTAACTTGTTGCCTCTTCGACATTCAAAGTTTAACTGCCCAACATCGAGAAGTCAATCACGCTTATTCATTTTTCTTCAATATGTCAAACTCTGTCAACAGTTTTATGTCACGCAAGGACTGTGCGCGTAATTAAGTTCCTTGAAAAGATAGTTAGAGAAGCAGGCACAAGACCTCAATGTTTATTATTAGCATATTTTTTGTAGAAGTTCCGTGTAAAGTCTGTTCATAGATATACGAAAGCGACTAACTGATACGAATTAAGGAAAGACCAGGGCAAGCTGTAAGAATGTAATATGGCCGAACAGGTCCGTACTTTGCTTAGAATTTAATTATTTGGGGTTTTGTTATGAAATATACTAAACAATATTTATTCATTTATGTATGTATTTATGTTTAAATTTAAAATAAAATTACAAATTATTTTTATTACCTACTTAAATTACTTAAAATTATTCACAGAATATTTTAGTATCACTATCACTGTCGCCTGTTCTAATTATTATTTGTTCTATATTATTTGCAATATGGATATACGATTGTTCTGCTTTTTCTATATGTTTAGCAGAATTTGCCCAACTTTGTGGAGGGATGTTAAAAACTTCGGTTTCAAGTTTGAGGACATTTGAGTTAATACTGGTAAAAACATTGTTACGACGAATGGCAGATTTCAGTTGGTGCCAAACTTGGGATTAAATATACAGTGGTAAATTGGAAGCCTTAAAACTGTATACGCTAGATTTTTTGCTATCACAAACGTATTCCTTTTGTAGGTTCAAGCTTTGTAGAACCTCAATTAATTGCTTTTTGGTATAATTTTCCTGGAAATTAATGTCGTTATTATACATGTAGTTTTGGATTGTTGCTTTTGTGTCACATGAGGAAGGGGTTTTAGTCAACTGTCTACTGTGATAACTTGCATTGTCCATTAAAATGACGCTATTAGCAGGAATGTTTGGAACTAGTTTGTTTTTGAACCAAGTTTCAAATAAATCAGCGGTGGTGTCTTCATGGTAATCCAAGGAAGAATCCTTAATATTTTTCTCGGACAGAGAAAGTGCACTTGGAATCCAACCATCTTTAGAGCCAGTATGCAAAATAGTTATTCCTTTACCTCTTTTTGATGGCGCGTTTGTTTTACACTTATCAGTTGAGTCAACCCAACCCTTTTCCGGGGTATCATAAGTGTCGAACCAGGTTTCATCCAAGTAAATAATTGGCCTTTGTTGTTCTCTGTAAATCTTAATTTTTTCTAGATATTCCAGTCGCCACTTCCGAATTCTAAAAGATTCCATTAAAACTTGCCTTTTGTCAATTTTTTTAAATCTAAAATCCATGTGTTGACACTTCCGTAAGGTAGTTCTGCTACATTTAACACCGGTTTCATCTTTTTCAAGCCTCCTAATTAAGATATCTAATGTATGCACGCTTTGTTCCTCGTATAACTGGTAAATTTTACGCCGTATTATATCTTGATCACTTTCATCTACACTCGAGAAAATGTCAGCATCGCTTCTTTTTTTCCTCGCTGAAATGGGATTATTTACAATTTTCCATACAGTTGATGTTGGAATTTTCGTCAATGTGGCCGTTTCTTCTAAAGAAGCTTGCTTGCTGGCAACACGTTTAATGAGAGTCAAATAAACATTGTTTATAACTTCCTTAGTCTCAATAGAATAGTGTTTTCTACATTTGGGCGGGAGCAGGTACACTAGACTCGCACATATTTTGCATGAATCGCAGACGATTCAACACACGCTGTATTACACACGAAATAAGAATGATTACAAATAAACTTAAACTAGGTAGTATACCAAACCAAAGAATATTAAACACAGGTAGGTATAAAATTATTTTCTATTACGGACCACAATTTTACCTGAATTTAAATTACGAAACTTTAGGTAATAATCTTGTTGCATTGTATGTTAATGACCACCCTTGGATAATCCCATTCAAAAGCAATTGGTCACTTTCTTATATCTATGAACAGACCATACCTGTTTCGGCTATTATAAGATATTATAATTTTACAGTAATCCGTGTGTGTGCTACTTTAAAATTTTGCTTCCAATAATTTGTTATTAATAATATGTCCAACATAAACAGTCATCTTGACAACATTGTGCGATAATTCGTTTCATTGTCAAAATATCATTGGAAGAGGTGATTGTTCAGAAAACGACACCGCCAAATTTCTGGTTTGTTGAAGACGTTTTGAGGTTCTAATTGAATTGAAAATGGTGTGCAACGCTAGTTATTTTCCGCCTTGTGCTTTTGCTTTATTCCAACTTGTCATCAAAGAGTATTTTAATACGTTAAGGAATTCTCCTTCTGGATTCATGAATAAAGGCACATGAAGAAGGATTCAACAATAACACAATACACAATAACATCTTACAATCTCATTTTGGAAACATCTTGAGAAAACCATAACTTTGGTGACGTTTTCTTAACAACCATGGCATATGGCACATTGACCACGTCACTAGGTACCGCACCTGTTTTCGTGTGATTTTTTTCAATAGCTAATTTTTTATCAAATTTCATACAGAAAGTCTGCTTCTTAGTTATACAACGTATGGTCTGCGTATTTCTGGACGGGCTTTCACTTGTATGCCGCAGGCCAGCACCCCTATGGCTCTTCTAGATCCAGCGATCAGATTTTTTAGCATTGATTTATATTAT